GGCTATGTTTCCAGTCTTCACCTAGTGAGAAGGGCTTCAAACAGTCCCGAATTACAAAGATTCGATTTACAAATGAGTCATAGGCGAGTGGGCTTCGTAACAAGACCCTACTCATAAATGTACAGTAGTAACTTATCAGCAGCCGCGTGACCCAACACCAGTAGCCAAAAGTGATAAAAAGAACAAAAACACACAGCCCAATGTTATTTCTTCCATTGGAGGCTTTTCTTTATAGAAAAATAATATGGTTGCACTATTTACTAGGTTTCTGTAACACAAATAAATATATAGCAGCTTTACTCGCAGCACCCTTCACACTGGAGCTCTTACACAAGACTTCGGCCTACTAACTCTTTCAGTGCTTGACTCCCACTTTTGTAATAAAAAATACTCAGTTAATTTTTTTAAATATTTCTGACAGAGACAGCAGGAAGTGAGAGGAAATCTATCCCCCAGAAGGGAAATTCACTCACAGAAGTTATCATGAAGAAAAGGTGTCTCCATTGAAGCTTCAGCATCAATTCTCGTTTCCACAACAAACCACCTTTTTCAAAATCCAATTATCACAGGGACAGAAGATGAGAGGAAATCTTCTGAACAGGCAGTAAAACAAACACCACTCTTCCCTAGGCTATCCAACGCTTATATATTTGATATCATTATTTTGAAAACTCATGCAGTTTTCAAACATACATAGTTTTCCTCAGTGTCTCTCTATCCTAATTCACTTTTAGGACTCTACCTTCATATATCTAAAAACAAGAAAGGCAACCTAAGATGTTTGTAGCAAGAGTTACAAGGAAAGATGAGGACCCTGTACCCATCTGACTATATTAGGTTGGCGTTATGATTTAATAAATATCTGTTCCAACTTACATACAAATTCAACTTAAGAACAAACCTACAGAACCTATCTTGCTCGTAACTTGAAGACTGCCTGTACAGAACCTCAATCTATTCCTGTTACAATAAACTGAAGAGCAGTTCTTACCTCTCTGGATACAGCTCTCTTTGGTTCAACAACTCTACCATCAACTTTGTGTGGTCTGGCATTCATGGCAGCATCAACCTCTTCCACTGTTGAGTATGTCACAAATCCAAAGCCCCTGGAGCGCTTAGTATTGGGATCTCTCATCACCTAGAATGAAGTATTCAAATCAGTATTGCATTTTGCGTTCTGCATATACCAAGTGGGGGCAACCACTTTCCTTAAGGTTTGTTGGTGGTGTCATATATCAAGTATGGGTAGCACTGAAACTAATAGTGGATACAGAACAAATATATTAAAGACCAACCCTTTTCTCACAGATACCCCTCCCACTGAAGTTGCTGGGAAACAACCAGCAAATGCCTTGTTTTAAATGAATTTGAAATTATGGGTGCATTAAATCTTGTCAAGCCAAGTGCAGCCATAGTTCATAAGCCACACACACACACACTCCAAGGATATAATACCCACCAAGCTCATGAGCTGGATTTCCTAAGATTAACTTGCAATAAGGTAACTTCACATTTGTCCTATCCAGTATACCAGATTTCATTAACACAAAAGGGAAAATCAAAGCTAGTACTAACTCCAACCCACCCAACATGCTGGAACAATATGCCCCCTTCTTTTTCAATCGCTTCTCCAATACTTGTTAGGTGTGCTGTCCTTTAAGCTGCAATACCCAATCCAGTCCAAACCAGAAATGTTTCCATTGTAATAGCTGTGCTCAAGATGCTGGAGATACTTACCACACAGTCTGTAAGTGTCCCCCATTGCTCAAAATGATTGCGAAGGCTCTCATCTGTTGTCTCAAAACTGAGGCCCCCAATAAACAGTTTGCGCAGCTGTTCAGGCTCCTTCGGGGACTAAAAGAGAAAAAAGCAAGGTGATAAAACAACAAGTAAAATTGCCCGGATGGTTCTGCAGAATATGTTCACTCAACTGTTCGCCTTCTACATTTTGTGTATTTTAGTACTATCCTCTCTTTAGGAATATCCAAGTCCTCTAAAATTACTCAATGGTCACCCTTTGCCAGAACAGAGTCCTAGAGGCATTTTCACAGGTAAAAAGAAAATAATTGTAATTCTCCCATTTCAGAGGGGTCCTGTATCTTTAACCCCTGTGAAGGCAGAGCTCCTACTGTAAATGAAAAGAAACACTCTTACCATGCCACAAGCATTTGTGAAACTAGCATGTTACTTACTCTTGACTACAAAGTCTTAAACTTCATTCGGAGCACTTAGGCACAGATTCCAAATATTACAGATTATGCCACTGTTTCTTTAAGTACTTCTGGGTTTCTCTCAATTTCTACACTGAAACAAAGAGTGTTTTGCAGCATAATTTTGTAAGAGAGTTGAAAATTACAGCATATAGGTTTTGCTGACAATTGCCTCATTTCCTGTGTTTTCAGCACTTCTGGCACACATAATTGTCAGAATAATTAAGTTGGGCAATATAAATAAACTGACTAGCAGACGTGTTAAAAAACCCAGAATTGAGCCACTGAAAAAATAAACATACCATTGGGTGAAATTATTGCATTTTTAAAGACTCCACAGCAAATAATTTTTACAGCATGCTACAATGAATGACTAAGGATATATACTATTGCTCAAGACTGTTGCCTGCAAATACAAGTGTTTTTCTGGTCTATGTAAATATAGTGCAGAGGATCCACAGAAAGAGCACCATGGGTCTTGGCAACATGGGAATGTTTTCCTTTCATGACCATGCACCAGATAACAGAAGCATAAAAAGCAGATTTTGGAATGAACTGAGTAATGACCACCTCGCCAACTTAGAAAGGGTGGAGTATGGAAGAAAGGAAAGGGATGTAATGGCATTCTAAAGACTGAGGAAAACAGGTTGGTAGCATTAGCTTTTGTAAATTTGAGCATTATTATTTTATTTATTTATAGTCCACTCTTTAGTCACAAAGGCTCGGTGTTTTCCAAAATATTAATTTACTTTTACAATTACAATATAAATACGATATAATACAATAAGACAAGATGGAGCGATGTCTGGCTGGCTCCAACTCAGTGGGGAGAGCGGTCTCTCAAAAACTGATGGATAGTCAGGTAGTCTTTAAATTGCAACAAAATTGCAGATTGATATTCCAAAACCAACACAGTTCTCTCTAAATACTACAAAAGCAGTGTAACTGGCTGAATAATTAAGGTGCTTGAGTCCAGAATGCTTCTCAGGCAAGATGTCCATCTACATGGAATTTATGTAGTTTAATAATTTAATTGCTATTTTATTTATTTACTATACTATTTTATACCCTGCCATCTCTCACCCCGAAGGGGACTCAGAGCAGCTTACACGTTATATGCATATACAATATATTACATTATTAGCATAGTACAATGCTAGCATCATATATTATTATATTGTACTACACCATTATGATGCAAAATTATTAGTAATATTACATATACTATATAATTATTATATTTTATTATGTTACTAGCCATCCCCTGCCACGCATTGCTGTGGCCCAGTCTGCGTTTTGCGTGCATGTGTGTGTGTGTGTGTATATATATATATATATATATATGGTTTGGCGAATGCGTTGTAATGTATTTTTTCTCTTTTAAAGTCCCTTCTGCAGTGTTTTTCAGTGTTTTTATGAGTGATAGTCACTCGTGGGCCTGATAGGTGTATTGTGTCCAAATTTAGTGTCAATTTGTCCAGTGGTTTTTGAGTTGTTAATCCTAGAATCGAACATTACATTTTTGTTTATATAGATTATACTGTATTAGTATTATATTGTATTACATTATAATATTGCAATCAATATTATAGGTACATACAATATATTATATTGTCTGTGTCTCGATGCTATGGAATTCTAAGAGTTGTAGTTTGGTGAGGCACCATCACTCTTTGGCAGAGAAGGCTGAAGACCTTACAAAAGTCTATCTCTCAGAATGATACTGAACCGTAGGAGTTAAAGCTGTATCAAACTGCATAATCTTCGACACAATGAATCAAATGGGTTTATTCAAGTACTGGCTTGCTATTCGAAATGGAATCAATGAGGATTCTGGGCTCAAGAGACAAAGCGGGCGATCACGTGGCTCAGCCCTTTCCCATCCTCCGCACAGAACTCAAGGGGGAAAAAAAGCTGTGCTCCACGGCGCGCATGCGCTCCAGAGAAAGCCTGGACTGCTCAGCGCATGCGCAGCCATTACAGGCGCCGGGGGAAAGCTTAGAACGCCACGCACTGTAAAAGATGGCGCCTGCCCCGGGAAGCCAGCGCGCATGCGTAGTGGCCGGGGAAGGTGGAGGAAAAGCAGGCCCAAGCGGCAAAAGGAAGGAGGCCGAAGCAGAAGCTCAAAAATGGCCAATAGGGGGGAAAACAGCCAGCATTGGCGCGGGGAGGATTTTTAACACTTACTTCGTTAGGAGACATATCGCACCCGTAATCGGACGATCCCTAAAGGCAAAGGAAACATAATTCCACAAAAACAAGCCACAGGTTTGGTTTCGAAACAACACGACACAAACGCCCGCGGGCGGACCTTACCTCAGACTTCGACATGGCGGCGATATTCACTCGGCGAGGCCTAGCCCGGCTTCCTCCCCAACGCGGCTTCTTCCTTCTGCAGCTGAGGCGGAAAGAGGCAGAGTCAGCGGCGCCCCGGCGCTTCACTACTAAGGCCCGCCCCCGGCCAACCACGATTGGTCAGTCTCCTAAGCCGCTTCCTCTCCCATTGGGCAGCGGGCAGATTGGCCGCAACCTATTGGACAACAGAATAGTGACCTCGCCCTTTTTCGCACGGCTTGCCCACCTACGTTCGCTTGCTATTGGGTAAGATACTTGTCACTCCTCAATTTTGTCCTCCGCCATTTCTGAGGCAGCACCCGCCCCCTCTCCATGGTAGCTTTCCCTTTATTGGCCAATTTAGAACGCATCTCTCTTGTGATTGGCTTACATACCCGGATTCCATTTTTCCGGTTGGTCAGCTTTCTTTTCATTCATTTTAACAGAGGCGGGAATTAAGTTGGCAGTCTTAGAACGTTTTGCCTTTAACGGTCCCAAGAACTGTATGCAACGCCTTTGGCGAAGGTGGCAGCGGGGGTTAGAATAAAAGAGGTGGAAAGGGCCATTCAGATCTATAAAAGCTTGCTTCCAGGCAGCAACAGCAGCAGCAAACGGTGAGGCGGGGCCTACAAAAGCCACGCATGCGCCTTAAGTTCACTCTTGTGTCAGACAGGAGGAAGGGAGGGAGGGACGCTGGGAGCGGCGCGCGCGCCTCACGCCAGCGCGAGAAAGGGGCGGAGGGGGGGCAGCTCGGCGCGTGCGCACTGCGAACCTGTTTTGGCGGGCGTTGCGCAGAAGCGGCGGTTGTGAGGGGGTGGGGGAAGTTGGTTCCGCACCGAGCCGTTACTTTTTCCACTCCCCCAGGTGAGCGACCACGGGAAATAACTCGGCGGGCGGCGTGCTAGCGAAAGCCGGTCCTTTAGAGGGAGGGGGCGTGGTCTCGGCGTGATTGGGAGCTTGCCTGAACCGCACTGTGGTACCGTTGGAAGAGGGGGCGGGGCCTGAGGGTGGGCGGGGCCAGCTTGCATGAGTGACAGCCTGGCGGGTCGAAGGGTGTGGAGGCGGCCCGAGCGAGAGAATGCTGAGAGGGAGGAGGGAAGGGTTGACGGAGGGGGCGGGCGCTTCTCATTCTTTCGCGGGATTGGTGGAATGCCTCTCGAGCGACGTGCGCGCTCTCCAATCAAGAGGAGTGTGGGTGTGGGCGGGCGGAGTTTGCGGCTTTCCCGCCAGGAACCTCCTCCCTCGTGGAAGTCAGTTGCCCTCTTGTGGTCTGTGCTGCTCATAAGGGCCTGCTTTTCAATAATAGAAATCATAATAATAAGAAATCAAAGTCTTTTAAGTAAAGTCCGTGATTCAGTGAATGATCGAACTAGTTCTAATGTTCTTCTTGTTCAATCTCAAACCTTTTTGTATTTCCAGTATCTCCAGGGACCTATGAATTGTCCATGTCCTTTCAGTACCTCTGCGGTCCGCCAACATGGCAGACCGTTCAGCCCTTCAGATCTTGTGCGTGTCTCTTGTCTTTTGCTCAAGAAATTGGCAATGCCTGCTAACGTTTGCCGGGGCTGCCCTCATTGCAAAGCGATAGTTTAAAAAGCTCGGAATCCCATAAACTTGGGTGACTTAAAAACAGAAAGGGCAGCAGTTTTCCCAGGGTCCTTCCACACAGCCATATAACCCAGAATATTAAGGCATAAAATTCCACAATATCTGCTTTGAACTGGGTTATCTAAATTCACACTGGGTTGTAGGTTTTTTCGGGCTAAATGGCCATGTTCTAGAGGCATTCTCTCCTGACGTTTTGTCTCACTACCTCTGAGGATGCTTGCCATTGATGCAGGTGAAACGTCAGGAGAGAATGCCTCTAGAACATGGCCATATAGCCTGAAAAAACGTACAACAACCCAGTGATTCCGGCCATGAAAGCCTTTGACAATACATTAAATTCACACTGCAATATAATCCAGTTCAAAGCAGATAATGAGGGATTTTATTCAGCTGTGTGGAAGGGGCCTGAGATGATGCTAAATTTCAATGGAAATATTATTTCAGCAATACCCATCTTAACGAAAAATAATCTGTGTCATGTATTTTTGTAGTTTAACCTAAGAACTGAGACTTCTTCAGTGCTGAGTAGGTGGGTTTTTAATATTATTATTTATTGACTGTGTTTATACACCACTTTTCACAGGAGCCCCCGGTGGCGCAGTGGGTTAAACCCCTGTGTCGGCAGGACTGAAGACCGACAGGTCGCAGGTTCAAATCCGGGGAGAGACAGATGAGCTCCCTCTATCAGCTCCAGCTCCTCATGCGAGGACATGAGAGAAGCCTCCCACAAGGATGATAAAAACGTCAAATCATCTGGGCAACGTCCTTGCAGACGGCCAACTCTGTCACACCAGAAGCAACTTGCAGTCTCTCACGTTGCTTCTGACATGACAAAACAAACAAACAAAACCACTTTTCACACCCCGGGGGGTGGGGGTAGGACTCAAAGTGGTGTATATCAAGTAATGGCAAGATTCAATGCCGAGATATATACACACCAAACATAATAACTAAAACAATACATATAACTATAAATGAAACCATTAAAATCATATTAAACAGAACACAAACAAACATTTAGACAATTGAAACATAGCTTTAACATCTTAATGTTAAAATCACATAATCCAAAATTCAAAAATACTCATCACAACCCTTATTGGAATATTTGGGGAAAGAAAAAAATATTTTGGTGGGTGGAATTTCACTCTTACCTTGCCCAGCCTTGCGTTAAAGTGTATTTTGAATTGTTTAATAGTTTGATTTTACTTTAATAGTGACTCTCAATGTTTTTTTTAAACTATTGTGATCATTAATTTGTTAGCTGCCTTCAGTCCTAATCTTGGGGAAAAGGCAGAGTATAATAATGATAATGCAATTCAAGGGAAAAGAGAAGCAATAGATTTTAAATGTATAGGCAGTTGCCAGATAAATTAGGTTCTGGTTGCTTGAGAGTTACAATTTAAAATAGGTCTACCTAATACTACATACTGTAGTATATCATATGCTCTGTATTGACTTGATATTCATACTGAAATACAGTAATTAAAAGCAAATAAAGCCAAACATAATATCACAGTTTTGCTGTATTTTAAAAATTGCTTTGTGTATACAGTATTACTTATTTATTTCAGGAATTTCTATACCGCCTTTCTCCAGCAGACCCAAAGCAATTCACAACATCATTAAAACATACAGTATAATATAAAACCATTGATTAAAACAACCCAAAAGAGTTAAATGGATGCTCCCTTATAGAAAATTAAAAATTACCATTAAATTAAAAGCAGTCTAAAATTTCCATATGACAATAAAATACTACAAAATACTAGGCTTCTGTTGCAGTTCATTTAAAAGGTATTTCAAACAGGTGGGGTCTGATCTGATTATTTCTTTGATAGCTTGAGAGTTCTGGTTGCTTGAATTCCAGTTAACTGAAAGTCTATTGTGCAATGTATAGACCCATCTACAATAGTCATACAGCATATAGTTATACTCTAGTTATACAGTATTGTAATATTTAGTGTCCCATTTTGACTTCTCCATTCTTACATTGCGACCCAAATTGAATTGAAAAGTGTGCCTGAAATATAATAACTTGAAAATCTTACCTAGTCTTGTGTTTCTCCGCCAAGACTTCGATAAAGTTAGTTATTGCTAAGTGTTGTGTAATCCATCAATAGGTGTGGGGTGTTGAAAAAATGGTCAGGAATGTCCTGAAGTAGACTAGAACAATGTATGTGCCTGTAAATTCTGTAATCTTCTATGTGGGAAAGCATTTACTATGAGGAGCAGCATAAAGAAATATTCTTGTGCAAGAACTAAGACCTGGAACACAACAAATATTCCTTTGCTCGACTTTCTAAATTTTGGCAGGTGGATTCCTTTGTGATCATTTCCTCCAATGTTATTTCTGCCTTGAATCTTATTTTTATTGAGTGTTGTAATGTAATACAGATTGCGCATCACTTAGCTGGAATTCCAAAATCTAATATCTTCCTCATAGGTGGCTGAGATAACATCTTTGCTATCTGATGGCTCAGCATACATAAGCTTTGTTTCATGCACAAAAATAATAAAAACGTCATTCTATATAATTATCTTTAGGTTATGTGTATATTTACAGGCTATCTCATTAAGTATATATATGCAAATGTAAGTATTCTAAAATCCAAAACACTTCTGAGCCCAAGAATTTGGATAAGAGTTATTCAATCTGTATAAAAGGGGGCTAAGGGTAATGAAATGACTGCCACACGGCCACATAGGAACTGATTTCAATGAAGTAAGTATATCAGGAGCAAGTACTGATCTTCATGGGATCAATGCCCATAGTTATTTGAGTATAATGCGTCATTGAATGTTATGTGCACCTTCGTTTTGAAGGTATGCATTACAAAAACAGGAATTGCTATCGAATGTAAATCAAAGTAGTAGTGGTTGTAAAAAGGCTGTTGGGAAGCTGTGCCTTCTGTCTGGCCTTCCTACCAGTTTTTTCATGGGTACCATCAGCTTCCTACCAGTGTTTTCACAGCCATTGCTGCCCCTCTCTCCTCTTGCCCAGCAGTGCAAAAAGGTTTAGGTATGTGATTCATTGGCTGTTCCAATATGCTTTCAGTGATTGATTACATGATAATCTCTGACCAAACTCTGCATAAAATGCCCTCAGAAGCACTTTATTTTCTTGTTGTGCAATTAAATCTTACCTCATCCCCCGGAACCCCTCCTTGATATTTTACAGTGTTTAAAAATTTTAATTCCTGAATTTGGCCCTGCCCATGGTGATCATTTTTGATGTCGTAATGTTTTGATTTTATATTGTTGTGTTGTTTATATACATTGGTTTTGTATTTTAGTTTATTTTCTGATTTTCTGTTGTGTTTTTGTGTTATATTGTGTATATTGTATTGATGGGTGTGGCCTCATGTAAGCTGCCCCGAGTCCCTTTGGGGAGATGGTGGCGGGGTATAAATAAAGTTTCATTATTATTATTATTATTATTATTATTAATGTACCATCGAATCTAATTTACATCGCTACCAGCAACCACCCCCTCCCCTCCAAATTTCTGCCCATTGTCAACAGTTGTTTCCTTCTCACTTGGAAGCTTGCCAGAGAACAGCATCCAATGTTTCAGGGACCAGCACTGGTTTGAGTCACACTGTTCTAAAATGTTATTGATATTGTCTGCTGTATTTAAAGGAGTGAATGGATTGTGGAAGCAATTTGGTGTTGGTTTGGTAAATGTATAGGGGATTATAGGGAGATGAAGAGAAGTGGAACAGATAGTCCAAGTTAGATCACTTCATTTGCTTAAGTGGGGTAATCTTGTACATCCTTGTTTAGAGGAAAACTTTTTTAAAAGTAAGAGTTGCACCCCAGTACCGTATATTTGCTATAAATATTTGTAACATTATATGAATGAGGAGGGGTAATTACTGGATATAGTTTTTTCAAAAGATAAAATTATGGCCCTATAATTGTAGTAACCAGAAATAACATGTTTTCGAGCTTTCTTTTTGCAGTTGGGGGGAGGGGGGCATAGGATCACAGAACAGAATCCTTCTTTGTGGTTTCATAGGTGTCCCTGTTGCAATGCAACATGATTTCTTCAAGGTCCTGGTGCCTCTAATGTCTTGCGAGTTCCTAGTTTCAGTAGGGAGCCCATCATAATAATTGCAACATGTCATTTATCAGTGTTGTTTGCACATTGCTTTAAACCTGAAATCCTGGATTTTTGAACTATTTTGTGAATGAACAGTGGGCCATGCATTCTGTTTTCAGTTTGAGTGCCAGTGGTTAGTAAGCCAGAATTGCTGCTGTAGAGTAGCATAGATATGGATAGCTGTTGTGTCATAACTGATGCTAAATTTTACATCTTTTTCTTCACTGCTTACTTTCCATGTAATACAACTTATAGTTAAATCTGTTTTGTTAAATTGTCATGATACAGCTTTAGGAATGTTTGTGTACCATTCAGTGTATAGTATAGCCCTTGTAGGAAATTGGATAATAACAAACCCTATTGAAAGAAACTGCCTCCACTGGAAGTTACCTTAGATCGTTGCTGGGAGAAACAGAAAAGAATTTTTTAGTTATTCCAGCAATGTCAGTTTTTAACAGAAGCATACCATATTATTGTCTGGAGGATCTAGAAAATTCCGAGAAGGGAATGTTTTATTGGACCTAGGTGGGACAGCTGTAAGTACCAGACTTTCAGATATGGGGATTTTGATATAATTGTACTACATTCTAATTTCCATAATGGGGAGAGAGTTGTTTATTGTAGGTTTTAAGAATTAGTAGAATGTTACTAAAATTAGAAGAATGAATTTCTAAATTTATAATAGTATTTAAAGAGAATAGATTAAAGAGAGATAAAAATCAGCATACAGTGAGTGAGAGATTGTAGACTAGTGTGTGTTTGATTATTAGTATTCTTTTTGTGCAAATATCTGTTCTTGTCTGTTTCATTTTTGTATTCATGCTGTGTTAGCTACAGTAGGCCTTTAGTAGTGGGGTAGTATTTGTTAGAATTTAGATAGTTTTTTTGTTGAATCTTTCAATTTGTATAAGCATACTTCTGTTTGTGTGTATGTTTTGTTTTTAAATAAAAACTATAAACTATTATTTCCTTTTCAAACTCCTGTGACATTGCTAATACTAAATCAGTATTTTTTTTAAAAAAAAAAGTTAGTGGAATACAATTAAATGGAGGAACGTAAACTAATTCTTTAGTCAAGCTCTATGCTTTAGGTTTTCTCAATGTTTGCACAATAGCAATATTGCAATATTAACAGTCGATTGGTACAGCATTAGACTTTCTTAATGAATTTTTTCCATGAACATTAAAATAGAACCTAATTAAGTTGCAATGGTCAAAATGGCAACTATCATTTACCTTTTTTCTCTTTTTTTAATAATGTAACTTCTATCTGGTTACTGTATATTGTCTTCCTCAGCAGGCTGTCTGAGCACTTCCTGAACAGCAAGCAGATTCGCTTATTAACTGTCCAAAGCTAACTTGAAATATGCAACAAAACATCTTTATTACTGATTTGCGGTACTAATAAAATCTTCTTCATATCCTAAAACAGAACTATTTTAGTAATTTAAGCGTATGAACTGCAAATGACTAGTGATATTTTTATTTAAATTACTGTATCTGCCAAAATAATGAGTTAATGTTTGAGAACCTTTTTTCATAGTAGGTTTATATTTCATTTTGAAGTTTAAATCAAGTTATGTGTCTTGAATGTCTATGATGCTTCTCAGCAAGATGGCTGCTGCTGGTTTGAGGATCAGAAATGGCCATTATCGAACATTATTTGTAGTGTGGTGGGCAGAAAAATGAAGAAGTTAAGCTATGTGTATTGTTTTCTGATGGAAGCATTTGCATTAATGGTATTGCAAAAGGCAAGATAAATTGCTTCTGAACATTCTCAAATGGATACATCATGGAGGAAATGCCTACAAGACAGCTGTATAGACAAAAGTGTTTTTTTTGTTCATGTTTTTTGAGGGTGCCTATTTAAAATAAGTATATAAAAATAAACGTTTCTACATTACTACATAGTGGCTTCACTGATGATAAAGGGTTTGAAAAGATCCAATAATTTCTGTAATGAGCAATGCAACACTTATATATCCCTTTTTTATTCAGTTCTGACATCTCTCCTCACCTCCCCCTGGGTTCCCCTAATTTGCCTACCTTGGAGATAAACCAGGCCTACACATCATCCGGCCCATAGGCCGGATGTGGCCCACAAAGGCATTTCCTCTGGTCAACGGGTGCCCAGAAAGGGATCTGAGCCCTTGAAGTGCTCAGATCCCTCATCTTTGAGGCTGGGGAAGGGGCGGGGCTTCCCCTTCAGCAACATGCATAGGAGGAGGGGTGGCCCGCAGAAGGCTTTTTTGGTGAGTAAATATTGGCCCTTTACCAGGGCCAAGTTGTGCAGGTCTGCTCTATACCGACCTAAGTGGTCAATGTAGATGGTTCTGCAGTGTGTGGTCCTGTGTTCCATTTCCATTGGGCCTCTTATCCATAGGAATGACTTTGCTGGTTTGAGGGGATTCAGTGTGTTGCACGTGCGGAATGCAGCTTGCTTTTTTGGGAACAGACACTGAGGTACTGGAATGCTGCCGTTTTACCACTGCTTTTTAGCTCTATAGTGAGAATGTTTTTGAGCTATAGTAATGTGTTATTTGGTGTTCATATACAAGTGTTGTTAGAAGCTCAGCACAGTAAACATGCAATCATCCCCTTTCATCCTTAAAAGGTCCTGATGAGATGGATAAGGTTGAAGATATTTTTTTCCCTTCTCAAGAATACCTAGTGAACTTCATGGCTTGGTTTCTTTTCATTCTTTTATACCACATAAATTCAATTATAAAATGCAAATGTTTCCTGAACTATAGTGGGATTTTGAGGGCCTTCTATTGAAAAAACTGGGGAAAGCAGCAATTTTTTTATTTTGAATTTATTTGATGAGTAGGCATCCAAAATTTTAATCAGATACAAAATGAGAGGAACATACTTATTTTATCATCCCTAAGACAGCCATGTTCATCTTTTAAATGGGAGCTAAGATCTTAGTTTTCTATGCATCAGAAGATGGGAAGCAGGTCAAGGCACTGTGCATGCTTCATAAATCAGAGAAAGACTACAGTTATATCTGATTCAATTACAGACTTCAGAACACATCTGAGGGTGAGTAATTCCCATCCCTTGGGCAAATACTGGTTTGCTATCACTGCGTATAAAAAGAAACTGTTTCTTTAAATTGCTTCAGTTCTAATATCCCCCCATTAATAATGTTATCCTTAAATTATGTCTTAGGAATTCTATGTCAATAATCACCAGAACCAGAAGATTACAGAGCAATACGAAGCCACCTGAAAGTCAGGTAACTCGAAATCAAGGAAGGAAGAGGCATACTGTGTTATTGAAGGCTTTCATGGCCAAAATCATTGGGTTACTGCCAGTTTTTGGACAGTATGGTCAGGTTCCAGTAGCATTTTCTCCTGACATTTTGTCTGCATCTACAGCAGGCATCCTCAGTGGTTGTGAGGTCTGTTGGAAATGAGGCATGAGGTTTATATATTTGTGGAATGTCCAGGATGGGAGAAAGAACTCCTGTCTGTTTGAGGCAAGTGTGAATATTGCACTTATGAATATTGTAATCTCCCCAGGCAGCAACAGCCAGGCTTTGAAACTGCAAGGTTTTTAAATGCTAATCAAGCTGGCCAATTGCAGTATTCATACATTGCCTCAAACAGACTTCTTTCTCCCACCCTGGACATTCCACAGATATATAAACCCCCTGCCCCATTTGCATCAGATCTCACAACCTCTCAGGATGCCTGCCATAGATGTAGGTGAAATGTCAGGAGGGAATGCTACTAGAACATGGCCATACAGCCCCAAAAACTCACAGCAACCAAGAGGCATATTATTGACTGAATTTTCAACATCATTACAAGCTGAAGAAAACACACTCTAAATAGACTGCTGTTTTCCAAAATATAAATTTGCTAATTCATGAGAAAATCTGTAGTTCATACAATGTATTCCTGAACATTTGGAACAGTAAGAATATGTGAACATATTGTTGAAAATCTGACTTTAAAATGTTTTTAAAACATATAGAAACATACTGCTTTAACAGTTGAGGCACATTTTGCCTTTGTATAATTACAGGCATAATTGGATTTTAAAGAGGTGGCTGTGTTAGTTTTATACAACATAATAAACAAGAGGGTCAGGAGTGGGGAGGAAAAAGAATTTAGCAGCACCTTTAGGACTAACTGGCTTTTATTTTAGCACAAACTTTCATAAATATGATACCAGTTCTTCAGATACAGAACTGAAGAAGTGGCTTCATATCCATGAAAATTCATACAAAAAAATCCCAGTTAAGGTGCTGCTGTGTCCCATTTTGTTCTGCCCTCACCTCTTTCCTTTTTTAGTGCCTAATGTTTTTAATGTAGACTCTATGCGTACATATCCCTGTTCAGAAGTAGAATCATGAAGTTGAATGTATTGCTTTCTTTAAATTAACTAGGGATAATACTGCTTGGTGCTTTCTTGCTTTAGAAAAAGTTTGGTGTATGTACTGCACAGCACTGTGCAATGTATGTCTTAGAGGACATCTTCACATTTCATATAATATGTTGTAAAATAAAGTCTTACTAATTATTCCATTGTAGTCATTTTAATTTTTGTTACCTCTAAATGATGTTACCTCTAAATGAATGCAAACCAGCTAGACTGATACTTTTCTAGAAAAAAAACAGCTTGAGTATGTGTTTTGGAGAAGATTTAAGATTGCTTCTGCACAGACTCACAATAAGCTAGTAGTTTATGATGAATTAGTTCATCAATGCAATGTAATAATAAATGTGCAAAATTGGGCAAATACTAACGTCTATATAAAAATATTAACAGCTCTCAGAATTCAGGGAGATTACCAGAGTATGTGGATATACACTTAAAGTGTGACTTTTATCATTCACCAGTCTATTTTAAAAAGTAAAATTATCAGCAGTTAATGCCATTGTTTAGCAATTTCGGATGTTCACCATGATGTTGGGGAGAGGGAGTTAGACAGAAAGGATCTTGTTTCTCCTCCCAAGATCTTTAGAAAGGAAAAAAAACCACATGTATATTATTCTGAACCTTTCATTATGAATAGGCAAAACAAGTTCCTATTTATACTTTTAGCCCTACTAATAATCAAAGTTTTCTGTAGTAATTTGCACCTTATTTCTATTTCTGGTAAAAAGATAGCACTAAAATCTTTTAAAATTACAGTACAACTCACCGTAACCATGGAGGATACATTCCCGGAGTTCAAAGGGGTACAGGAAATTGCAGATAATAGCAAACTCTTTTGGAATGGATTTCTGGTCCAAGAATATAATGAAGTTGTACTGGAGTACCTAAAATGCCTAGGGATTATGTATTTTATTAAACATAGATAAATAAAACTGCAAGTACTGATACTGCGGATATGGGGATTGTATTGTATATGCTGTGAACCTTAGGGTAAATATTAACAGAATTTCGAATGGGCATACCCCTCTGTACATGACCAGTTCTCCACTCTTGCTGTAGAGCAGGGTGAGAAACATCATATTCTGCAGATATTCTAGACCAGAGGTCCTCAAACTAAGGCCCTCCAAGGTCATTTACCTGGCCCTCACTCAGGGTCAACCTAAGTCTGAAATGACTTAAAAGCACACAACAACAACAATCCTATCTCATCAGCCAAAAGCAGGCCCACACTTCCCATTGAAATACTAATAATTTTATATTTGTTGAAATTGTTCTTCATTTTAATTATTGTTTTGTTTTAAGTGCTTTTTGCACTACAAATAAGATATGTGCAGTGTGCATAGGAATTCGTTCATGTTTTTTTCAAATTATAATCCGGCCTTCCAACAGTTTGAGAGACTGTGACCTGGCCCTCTGTTTAGAAGGTTTGTGGACCCCTGTTCTAGACTATAATAAGACAGCATGGTTATTGGTAACAGATTGTGGAAATTGTAATTCAAGTGATCTGGACATGATTTGATTATATACCCTTGCTATATAGACAAGTTGCCATTGCCTGACAAAAGGAACTATGCTAAATTTTAATACGCTTGTGTCTGAAGGTGGCAGAATGCCATTTGCCATTCATATGCTCTCCTGGCAGGTCATGTTATTGATTCTAAGTAGATATTGTTTTCAGTTGTGGGAAATGTATGCAGTTGTACTTTTGTTACCTGTTTTCAAACAATAAATTTTTGATTTTGTTGCCATTTTTGAAATAAAGCTGTGATGCTTCTCACTGGACAGATTGTGATGCATCTTTCATCCTCTTTTGAACTTATTACACACTTCTGTAGTTCGTTTGTAACACTGTAAACCCTGCCATTCACAAACTCGTATATGCTTGATGACACCAAAAGGGTCTGCATTTATAAAAAGAAATTTTAGTCACTTATATGGCTCTGGCTAGCGGTTCAGAATGGAGCTAATATTCAGTACTTTTCTACAATAAAGTGATTTTTAAGCATTTCAGGTAATATCCTACTAATAATTTAAAAAAACCAGAAGATAGTGTCATCGATAGTAATAATCTCATACTTCAAATTTGGAACTTCACATTATATCTTTTGTTGCATCGCTTTTTTCACATTAATTCCATTTAATATTGTTCCTCCCCCATATATATATATATTGATTGGGGCCCTGTCTACATTGCCATATAATGCAGATCAATGCAGTTAAACTACCTTCTGAAATTGCATTATATTGTAGTGTAGATAGAGCCTGAGCCAACTATCTCAGACATATTTGGCTACCACTTGCTGGAGATCACAGTGATACTTTTAAATAATATGTTTATTTGAAAAATTAGTACATTGAAATAAAATTTAAACCTATATGGAAAAAGAAGAAATATAGCAGAAAAAATGATAATGGGTTGAATATGCCAACTCTAGATCAGAGCTTTCCAAACATTTCATGTTGGTGACATACTTTTTGGGCACGCATTATTCCATGACACAGTATTTCAGTTTAACTAGCAAACTGGAGGTTAAAACAACCCTTTATAACTTATGTATACAGAATGTTTGGGGGACACAACAAATCTCATGAAGCTCTTTCATTTATATTTTTAAATAATATCTGATTTATTGCTTATTTCACATAGACTTAGAAGTTTCCCCTTATGTTTCCGCGACACATCTGCACTTTGCAGCCTTGACACTAACGTGTCACCACACAGTTTGGAAAGCTCTGCTGTAGAAGACTTTTCAACTAGATTACCTGTAAATGACCTTAACATAAAGGTTTCTTTTTAAATATTCAATCCTTTAATGCTCTCTTCTTGTCTTACAGTCCTATTTAAAACTGAAAGAGACTAGATAAAAAACAAAGGGGGGAGAGGACATTGACTATTTGTGCCTTTTTGTATTTTATGAGTTGGTTAATTCTTGATTGACTGTCTGATTGCTGACTGGTTGCTTTTATCCAATTAATAAAATTATTTCTACAGGCTATCTCTACTTGATTCTAAATAGAAAAACTCAGTTCAAGTTATCAAAAGTCTTTCCTGCATCCAAAAATTTCAATGAGATAATTGAAATCACTTCGGTTTTTCAAGCCAACCAACTCAAAGGATTTGTTTGCCTGAGTTTTCTCTGGTTCTAATACATATTGTTTGATTGTTGCATCATGATGAACAGCAGAGTTTTTTAAAAATGCTTTTGAGTTTCAACTCAGTGAGTCACTCCACTACTGTAACAGTAAGATTGGGAGGTGTAAATTTTCCAATTCTAGATCTGTGGGTCACAAAACAAGTGTTCCAAAAAAAGTTTTGTGAAGACTGATCTGGCTATGCTAGTATTTTGGAGAGCAGGAGAGTTTTTAACCTAAGGTAGCCCAACAAGAGCCAGTGTTGTGTACTGGTTTGAATGTTGGACTAAGAGACCAGGCTTCAATTAACTACTTAGGCCAGTTTTTCTCGACCTGGGGGTCGGGACCCCTGGGAGGGGGGTTTGCCAAAACCATCAGAAATCACAGTATTGGTGTGGACAGCCACAGTATTTTCTGTTGGTCATGGGGGTTCTGTGTGGAAATTTTGGCCCAATTCTATCATTGGTGGGGTTCAGAATGCTCTTTGATTGTAGGTGAATTATAAATCCCAGCAACTACAACTCCCAAATGTTAATGTCTATTTTCCCCAAACTCCACCAGTGTTCACATTGGGTCATATTGACTATTTGTGCCAAGTTTGGTCCAGATCTATCATTTTGAGTCCACCGTGCTCTCTGGATGTAGGTGAGCAACAACTCCAAAACTCATGGTCAATGCCCACCAAACCCTTCCAGTATTTGTGTTGGTCATGGGAAT